ATCCAGGTGCCCCACACCTCCCATCTTTTTAACAAGTAACTTAATGCTATAAAAGATACATCTTAAGGGGCACCTGGCTGGCTGAGTTAAAGCATGGATGGCATTCTTGATCTCAGGGTCAGGAGTTTGAGCCCAAGTTGGTGTAGAGATTAGTCAAAGTAAATAAATCAATAACTTTAAAAATATATATATATCTTGAAAGATGTACCTTCAAGAAACGTGATTCACCTTTTGCATAAAATATACGCTCTTGCTATAGATAACAGAAAAATGTTCTTTTTAAAACTGGATACATTTTATTACCTTAAACTAGAAATAGCTTGAGCAGACAACTGGAATGCTAGTTAATTATTGCCAAAAAGGTATACTTCAAACTTACAAAATGTTATATACATCAACTGTATTTCAATAAAGCTGGGGGAAAAAAAAGTACCAGAAAGGATTATAGGTAAGCCATTGCTAAATTTCAATTGTTTCTGGTAGTTATTCCTCAATTTTTTAAATGCAAATGTAACACTCTCTTAAAATAAGGTGCTACATGTTGTCAGTTTGGTGTACTTACTGCAGGCAGGGGTTTGTCATGAAGAGTACATGAGGATTGCTCTGAAGATTGCTCCAAAACTATGAGTACTACTCAAAGTTTCAGAGGAAACGCTGGTTGTGGATACTTGCTCAGCCCACCATATTTAGCAAAGAGTTCTCATAATGTTCTTTGGGTTTCACAAACAGAACACTTAACCTATCACAAATCAACCTTTATGTTCCATTTTTGTTTTGCTTCTACTTTAAAGCTCAACTACCTCTTAAAAATATGTTTTCAACTCAACCTGCAACATAAAATAGCAGTGCACTGATGCTTCTTAAGTAGTGTAATTTTAGATTCATTGTTAACTACTACTATTATTACAATCACCTAGCTGGTTCATTTGGAAGAGCCTGTGACTCTTGATCTTGGGGTTTGAGCCCCGTGTGGGGTGTAGATATTACTTAAGTAAATAAAATTTTCTAAAGAAATGGAGTTGAAAGATGTAATATTTAGAGAGAACTGCTGAAGTACATATAGGTCATCCAATCCTCCAGATATTACAAATCCAGCCCTGGTCAATTCAGAGCAACAGATACCTTAATAATACCTAGACGACACTGTACTGATGATCCCTGAAGATCTACTTTTATTGAATTATAGTTAGGTATGATAGCAAGAGCCCACATTGAAGACTGGTAAAGTCCTGAGAAACTATGGCTGCCAAGATACTGTCTAGAAAATTGTCCATGAATATTACTTCTGAGCAATAAGCTTGTTTTACATAATGATCTCTGTAACCTAGTGTCAATGACTAGAGAGGTTAGTCAGCGCCAAACTTATAGCCTATCCACAGACAGTTTCGGATCTATAAGCACTCCCTGACTCCATTTTCGATCCATCCTCAATATTACTTTTCATTTTTCTTTTGCTTTCACTTTTTACTTCTGCTTCACTGTTCTGTGATAATCTACATGTATAAACTACTTTAACTCCTTTTTAAAACAAAGCAGAAGAACACTGAAATGAATAGATCAAGAGAGTTTCCTGGGGCCCTTTTAGATTCTTTGTAGAATTCAGATTCTTATATTACTCTGGATAGAATTATACATATTTGATCATTAAAGGGGGAATGAACTAAGCCAAGTGCTTTTATCCCTAAGAATGTAATTACTTAGACTTTATCTTGGACAGCTGGTCAGGGATTGGCAAGTTTTTTTTATGAAGAAGTCTACTACTGGGCGCCTGGGTGGCTCAGCAGGTTAAGCCTCTGCCTTTGGCACAGGTTATGATCTCAGAGTCCTGGGATTAGGTCCCACATCACGCTCTCTGGTCAGCAGGGAGCCTGCTTCCCTCTGGCTGCTGCTTTGCCTACTTGTGATCTCTCTCTCTGTGTCAAATAAATAAATAAAACCTTAAAAAAAAAAAGTCTACTACTATGTGGTTAAAATGATGTTTCTAAGATGTATATATAAGGCACATGATTTAAAAATTGTCATTAAAACTGTGAACAGTCAGTAAATTTTACCTGGTATAACATGTCCTTTCTCATGCAAAAACAAAAACAAAAACAATTTTTTAAAGACAAATCTGATTTCATGATTAAAAGATGAGCAGCAAGGGACTAGTTGTCCTTTTTATTTATAAACTACCAGAGCAACTTGCTATTTTCTTACAGAGGAAAAAGGTAAGGAAAGGAGAATTTTGACCAAGTACATGGAATCTCCAAGACTTGAAAAAGGCCTTAAAAAAAATGGAGAAAATCCTTTCCTTGAGATAGATACCAATATACTTAACAAGCTACGGAGCTGAAATTATCTAGGAGCTCACTAATAGTTGTAGAACTGCAAGAAGCATCTTTTCAAAAAAAAATTTAAAGAAATATATTGACAATGTAGTTTCTACTACCATGATAAGTTACTGGAGAAAGTGGGTAAAAGCAAGACTGTCATATATTTGAGAGGTAGTCAAAAGTTGTTTTTCTGGGCTCACTGCCATTTGTGTTGTTTCTGGTCATGTTTCTGCTCACCAGAAATCTTACAACTAAAGATCCAAATAAAGATAACCTATATACAAAAATGGGAGTGTCGGGGTGCTTGGGTGGCTTGGTCGGTTAAGTGTCCAACTCTTGATCTCAGCTGAGGTCTTCATCTCAGAGTCATGAGTTCAACCCTTGAGTCAGGCTCCATTCTGGGCCTGGATCCTACTGAAAAAAGAAAAAGAAAAAAAGAAAGAAAAGAAAGAAAGAAATGTGGGGTCCCGAAAACTGAAGGCAAAAAGGGAAGCTGGGTATATTGAGAGAGAGCCTTGAACTAAAGAAAGGAAGAAAAGCATAATGCTATTAGAAACTCAGACAACTGAGTAGATGGACATGTCTTTTCCTCAGCCTTACTAAAATAAAATCTGACATTAAATGACTCCCATTAACTGCACAAGAAGAACCAGTAAAGTATACCTTGAGAGACCAGTATAACTAGCCGGAAGAATGCAAGCTTTTCCTAAGTAGTGTGCAATAAGAACAGGGTTGAAAAGGCTTCCCATGACAGGAATTAAAAGGCCTTCCTAAAACCGGACAACCCAAGAGACAATGTAGATCCGTCTCTCAAACTCAGCACTGCTGACATTTGAGTCCAGCTAATTCTTGGTCTGCCCTGCACATTGTAGGATGTTTAGCAGCCTCCCTCACCGCTACCCCCTAGATGACAAGAGCCCCCTCACCAGCTGTGACAACCAAAAAATGCTGGCAGATCTTGCCAAGCAGCAGGCGCAAAGTCATCCCTGTCGAACAAGACTGCTCATGATGAAACAAGTATCAAAGAGCTGCCAGGAAGAACTCACCACTCGGGGCCAATAGCTCCAAGCCCTTCCACAGCTCAAACCAGGACACGGAAGGAACAGCAGAACTAGTTGGAAAAACAACCGACAAGTTCACATTTTGGATATGTCAAAACGTGGGAAATACAAAGGGCAGCTGTATACATGGGAATGGAACCAAGAAAAGAGGACTGGGCTACAGAAGTTGGCCAGAAAAGCATCAGCTACATTAGTACTTCTGAGAAAGACTTCTGCAAATCTTCAGCCAAAATAAAATCCTCTTAGAGATAATGATGATTACCCTACACAAGCTCTACCTAGTGCCTAATTAAATAAAGAAGCCCTTGATGGATTTAGTCCACTGCAGGGTAATGTACTCATGCACAAGATTTACCTTCATCTGGACAACCCTGCCATATGTTACAGTCTTCAGAGTGAACTCTCACATATCTTTACTAACTGATACACTGCAATGATTTTCCCATTTGGCATATGCTCCCTCATTTGACTTTTGTTCCCAAAATCCATTGTCTCATATTCTATCTATTTTGAATAGGTATTTGTTCTCTGCTGCTTCAGATACATAATTAGTAAAAGAAGATGCAATTTTCAACATTAAGAATTAAATGCAAGTGAGTTTTCCAACATTATCATTAAAGAAATTCTGTATGAAAAGACTCAGAACTCCAAACAAATTACTTTTTTCTTCAATAGAAACGCTCTAAGAGTTTGAATACACCTCAGTTCAAGAGCATATTTTCCTGAATGTCTGTTTTTGATTGAAAAAATTTACTTAAATGTAATTTTGCAAGAAATTACAAGACACATTTCTACATATGCATAAGTTCACTTGTTAAAAACCTATTCAACATGTTTTATGAAGAGCTACATTTCATGCAAAAATAGCAGCGAAGAAATAATTTTCCCAACTTAAGATATATAATCTGTTTAACAAAATATAGTTAAAGTAAAATAAATCTGAATAAGTAAATAGGAATACTTGGCAATATATTATGTTCAGCTTAAACTGGTTTCCTTGTGTAAAATCTTCTGCTGTATGCTTTTTTATAACTAGCTTAAAAAAATTTAGTGAGAGGAAGTTGAGAATTTCTTTTGAAACAGTCATTTAAAGTATCAATCAATTCATAGAATTTTCACCAAGCTCACTTTGACAGTTTTATCATACCAACACACTGGCATGCATTCAGTAAGAACAGGTATAAATAAGGGATGGTAATATTTCCTTTTAGAGATGACAAATTTTTAAAGAGAGAACACAAATCCACACACACTCCTAAGAGGAAAATTAGGTTCAGCATTTTTCTGAGCACAAACTAAATATACACTAACAACAATTTTAGGACTCACTTTTGTTTAAATAATCCTTACTAGAAATAAAAGGATACCATTAAATAAAAATATTAATCAATACCCGTTCCTGAGGCTAAACTTACCAAGTCAGATATGACTTTCGTTGAAGGAAATTACTACGACCCCCATCACCACCACCACAGCCCCATCCTTTCTCCACATAAAGAAAATGCAAATGATGCCCAATTTAATGTATGCTCTCCACTGACTCTGGTCGCTTAAAATTATAACATAGCTAGAGGAGGAAGAGAAGAAAAAGTAGTGAAACATGTTTAAAATTGTACTTTCTTACCAATATGTTGCTGCAGAGCCCAAGAGTTTGAGGCACGAGTGGAGAGCATCTTCTCAACAGTTGGAGGAAGCCTCTTCCAATTGGTAAACTCCAAAGTGAAGATAAGGGTATCATCACTGACTGAGTCAATCCTATATTGGGAAGACGTTAACACACCATTAGACACAAAAGGGTTCATCCTGAAAACAAACACCACATAACTATTCTTACAACACTGCAGTATAGAAGGAAGAGCAAAAACTGAGGCACAGAAAATAATCATGTAACTGGAGGAAGTTCGGTGGATACAAATAATCATCTACAGGTTCCTAGAAGAAAATGAATCGATTCTGTGTATAGTTGTCCAGTAGATGACCAGAGAATCCCCATTTCTCAGCATCAATGGTAAGAAAAAGAGAAACAGCACCAGCGCCATCTGTGGACTTGCCATTACCTCCTCCAACTCGGACCATCTTGCTGAACCTAAACTGGTCCCCTCACATACACACAATTTAACATCCCTGAAAGGATAATGCCCAAACACCCAAAGTTAACTCTAAACCGAATATATGGGAGAGACGAACTTTTTCTGTCCAACTCCCAGGGACATAAAATTGTACCCCTCTAGGAACCTTCCCCACTACAGATTCAGTTCTAAAAGATGTACCAGAGTAAGTTTTGTCTTTAAGGACTGAAAGGTGTTCAAGACAAACAGTTTTCCCTCTATTTTTTCAAAATAATATCAAAATTTCCTACCAATCCAGCCAGAGGAGACTTCCCCCCAATTTTATAAGCACTTGAATCCTACTGAACAGAGCATTAGTCTAAGAAAAGTTCTGGTTTCTAATACCACCTCTACCACTTACAAATATGTTACCTAAATTCTCTTTCTTTCTCTCTCTCTTTTTTTTTTTTTTTTGCCTAAGTTTTTTAAGCCCTAGATCTTGGTCTCTAAAATGGGAATAATACTTAACCTGCCTATCTTAGTTCACTTTGGTGAAAATAATATGAAACAATATATAAACATACTTTTTAAAACAAAAATGTTACATAAATATTTGCTATTACTAGAAGTGGTCTGAAATTTTCAGTATTGCATTTTTGATAGGACTTAAAATATTATACACATGAAATTTAGTCATAGCTTAAGGGTAACTCCAAATTCTAACCAGGATTACCTTTGTTGTTCTCAACTAGATACTCCCCTACTCTATCACATTGTTCAAATAAAAATAAAATGATTAGGGCCTCTGGTAACTACTTCAGAAATTCCTTCCAAGGTGCTTTTTTGAAGACATTACCAAGCAAGGACTAAAGAAGGGGGGAAAATAGAATCAAAGGAAAGAAATTGAGTAATACTCTCAACATATCATCTCAAAGATAACTTAATTCTTATAACTCAGGGTCAGAGTGTCCTTGAATGACTGATTAGAGAGCATGAAAATTATTTCCCAAATTCTTAATTCTCTAATATGCAAGCATAAATAAGAAAGAACTTAAAAAGTATAGCACAAATGCTTTAGGAAATTCTTCTACTTCTTGGGAAGCTCTCAGTGAAATCATAACTTATCAGGAAATATTGAGAATAAATAAAATGATAAAATATACTCAAAAGTAAACAATTCCCTTGACTTTCTAGTACCCTGCACCAAAGGTTACTTAATTCTAGCTCTTTACTTCTTTTTTAATGGCTTCATTTTTCTGCTAAAGTGTGCTTTAAGTCTATGACCAAACACAAAATCATTTTTATGCAGTTATCTAAACACACATGTAAAAAATAAATCTGTTTATACAACTTTAGTTAATATAATGGTGAGTATATTCTACAAATGCTGATAATGCCACTAAAAATGTATTGTTACCGTACTACATTGACCATTACATTGTACAAAGCAGTTGTACAATCATAAACAAGTGACAGTTAATCAACTAAATGTACAGATGACATTTACTTTCTATTATTCACCTATTACATTTGGGCAAGGGCTGGGGGGTGTACCTAGTCTTGCATTTAAAGTTGAAAAAATATTTCAACTCTGTAGATTATATTGTGACAGGCAATTATTCAGCCAGATACATTTTTTAAGACTGTTTAAGGCAAGCAATACGAGGAAAGACATTTATAATTTACATGACAAAGAGTAAGCAACAGACTTATGTGTGATATAAATAAGATACAACCAAAATCCACTTTAACAACATATTGGAATTTTTATGGGAGAATTTTTCTTGTAACAGCTCTTTGAATGTAAATTTGATCAAAGAAAGCAAAACATTTATCATATTCAGCATAAACACTAGCTTTATACATTCAATAAAAGATCAGTGAACAAAAATTTGACCATGTTAAGCATTTTCATTGCTAAAGTGAAGTTTTCCATTGTATTTTTCTAATGAATATAAAGTGACTAAAGTTACTCATTTGGAGTAAAATATATGTAAGCGGTATTCTCAGTCCAGATAGATGAAAGTTTTACAATTTACTTCAAAATAAATTGTAGCTTACTGGTTCTCAACTCTTTTCTGTCCTAACACACCCAATGAATAGAGCACACAGAAATATGATGAGAAATGTAAGACACATATTGTTTTTTTTTCCTTTTTATAGAGAGACAGAGAGCATCACCCTCGGGGGGGAACATGGGGGGGGGGGGCAGGTGGCAGAGGGATGAGAAGAGAGAGAGCATCTGAAGCAGGCTCCACACCCAGTCCAGAGTCCCCAGAGTGCAACACAGGGCTTAATCTCACATTCCTGAGATCATGACCTGAGCCGAAATCAAGAATTGGACCCTTAACCAACTAAGCCACCTAGGTACTCCATATAACACACAAATTTTTAAACAAACTATTCACATGGGGAGAGGGAGGATCCTGTATTGGGACTGGGGACTGGAAGAGTGTATTTTACAAAGCCTTCTGGGAGAATAAAGCTAAATAATTCCCTCTCCTTCCAGCAGTCTAGGTGGTTGGCTGAGGAGGAAAGGAAAAGAGGCAATGTTTAATTTTTTTTCCCTGTATAGGTTCTTCCTAACTTAGGAAGAGGAAGGAGCAAGAGAAGTTGGCACATATCCCTCCCAGGTTAGCCAAGGGATTAAGATCACTGAAATTAAATGATGTAACTATAGGGCCCATGTGGACACACAGGACTAAGGCGGCAGAGTACAGTGGTTAGAAAGATAGACTTGAACCACACTACAGGACAGCCTAGGTTCAAACCTAAGCTCTAGCACTAACTAGCTATGTGAGCTTCAGCAAGTATGTTCAATACTCTGGGCCTCAACTTCCTTCTCTGTAAAACAAAAATAACAGTATCCACTGTATTCTATATTAAATGAGTTAATACAGTACCAAACTTAAAATAGTGCCTACTAAGTGTTGGTTAAAGAAAAAATAAACCAAAAACCAGAAGTTAGTGTGAAGGCTGAAAGTAATGAACAAGTAGTACAGAGTCGAGTTAGTAGCTTCAGTGAAGGAACACAAAGAGTACTGCTGAGAAGAGAGTGGGAGACATGAGAACAAGCATCTCGTTGGGTGACAGAGAAATGCAGACATACTGTCAGGGCTGTCCATAGCTACCCCACGTGCTGGCTGGGTTTATAGAAGCAGTTGGAGAGTGAATCGTAGAAATCTGAGAGGCAACTGCTGTTCTCTGTCAGAAGGCCAAAACAACCATAAAATTCACTAAACTAATAGTTAAGGGTACTTAAATGACTTTGTCAGTAGCTAGATAGACCATTTCTTAGCAAGTGTTTCTATCTCAGTATGCATGCACATGTATGGGGGTTTAAGACAAATAAGCACATACAAATAACTTTTAAAGATCAGTGACTCCTCAATGAATTGTCAATAATCTTTATATTTCATTCAATTATCTAAAAACACAATGGATTTCTATGTAATTTTATTGAAAAGATATAGAGAGAATTGCAACAATGAGTATCTGACAAATGACTGGGTATTAGTCAGCCAGTAGGAAAGAAGTAAATACAATAGGTATTCCACCTGTTGTAAAGCTATACACAAAAAAGTAAAATGGGAATCAGAATGCATATCTCAACTTCGTTTTTACTTCTATGTTCCTCAAACAACCTACCAGAAAGCAGTTTTTCCTTATAAACCACATACCTGAAACACTTTGTATCAAAAGGGATGATAGCCCTAAGCATAAAACCTCTACTTGGTAAAAATTCCTGAATTCTATATACTGGCAGATGTAATAAAAAGGTGAGGTACTGGGATCCTACCAAATACAGACCTATTCATCATATGCAGGTGTAGAAGCCACCGAGGGAAAGATGGAGTCCCAGAAGTACAAACTAAACATACAAGTACAGAACACTAATGTTGCCTGCATGAACCACAAAGAGGACCTCTTTTCTAATGAAAAACTCCAATAACAAGATATCAAAGCACTTTTCTGCTGAAATGCAAAATATAATATTTGACTAAACATTATTTCAGTGAACACTAGTTGGTTTTTTTTTAAGATTTTATGTATTTATTTGACAGAGAGAGCTCACAAGTAGGCAGAGAGGCAGGCAGAGAGAGGGGAACACTAGTTTTTGAAGCACAAAAATGAAGCCATCTAGATATTTCACTGAAATTTTATGAAATATCCATGTGCTCCATTTTCTTAGACACTTTCATTCTATTTTCTCATTTCACTTATCAGACCAAGAGTTCTTTCATTGCTATAATTACCTCCTCAGTTCTATCTAGACACTTAAAACTTTTGCAAAAGCTGAAGGCTGGCAGAAACAGTGTCCTCTTCTTGCCCAAGAAAAATCCTGATTCAACTTTCATATATCATCAGTTACTTCACAAATCAGTATTTATTAAGGGAGACCAAGTTCAAATAGACAAGATGCTACAGGACAAATGTATTCTCTCAAGTAGACTAAAGGACAACAGAAATCTCCAAAGCAGCTACAACCATTCTTTCGCAGGCCTTTTTAAAATTATTTTTATTAACATATAATGTATTATTTTCTCCAGGGGTACAGGTCTGTGAATCATCAGGCTTACACACTTCACAGCACTCACCACATCGCATACCCTCCCCAATGTCCATAACCCAACCACCCTCTCCATACCTCCCCTCCCCCCAACAACCCTCAGTTTGTTTTGTGAGATTAAAAGTCTCTTATGGTTTCTCTCCCTCCCAATCCCATCTTGTTTCATTTTCTTCTTCCCCACCTCCCAAACCCCCCACTCTGCCTCTCAAATTCCTCATATCAGGAAGATCATATGATAATCATCTTTCTCTGACTGACTTATTTCACTCAGCATAATACCCTCTAGTTCCATTAATGTTGTTGCAAATGGCAAGATGTCATTTCTTTTGATGGCTGCATAGTATTCCATTGTATATATATATACCACATCTTCTTTATCCATTCATCTGATGATGGATATCTAGGTTCCTTCCATATTTTGGCTACTGAGTCACAGGCATTTTTTTTTAATTTTTAAATTTTTTTTAATAAACATATAATGTATTATTATCCCCAGGGGTACAGGTCTGTGAATCGCCAGATTTACACACTTCATAGCACTCACCACAGCACATACCCTCCCCAATATCCATAACCCAACCACCCTCTCCCGACCCCCCCGACCCCCAGCAACCCTCAGTTTGTTTTGTGAGATTAAGAGTCTCTTATGGTTTGTCTCCCTCCCGATCCCATCTTGTTCCATTTATTCTTTTCCTACCCCCCAAACCCCCTACGTTGCATCTCCACTTCCTCATATCAGGGGAATCATATGATAGTTGTCTTTCTCCAAATGACTTATTTCGTTAAGCATAATGCTCTCTAGTTCCATCCACATTGTCGCAAAAGGCAAGATTTCATTTCTTTTGATGGTTGCATAGTATTCCATTGTATATATATACCACCTCTTCTTTATCCATTCATCTGTTGATGGACATCTAGGTTCTTTCCATACTTTGGCTATTGTGGACATTGCTGCTATAAACATTCGGGTGTACGTGCCCCTTCGGATCACTACGTTTGTATCTTTAGGGTAAATACCCAGTAGTGCAATTGCTGGGTCATAGGGTAGCTCTATTTTCAACTTTTTGAGGAACCTCCATGCTGTTTTCCAGAGTGGCTGCACCAGCTTGCATTCCCACCAACAGTGCAGAAGGGTTCCCCTTTCTCCGCATCCTTGCCAGCATCTGTCATTTCCTGACTTGTTAATTTTAGCCATTCTGACTGGTGTGAGGTGGTATCTCAATGTGGTTTTGATTTGTATTTCCCTGATGCCGAGTGATGTGGAGCACTTTTTCATGTGTCTATTGGCCATCTGGATGTCTTCTTTGCAGAAATGTCTGTTCATGTCCTCTGCCCATTTCTTGATTGGATTATTTGTTCTTTGGGTGTTGAGTTTGCTAAGCTCTTTATAGACTTTGGATACTAGCCCTTTATCTGATATGTCGTTTGCAAATATCTTCTCCCATTCTGTCAGTTGTCTTTTGGTTTTGTTAACTGTTTCCTTTGCTGTTCAAAAGCTTTTGATCTTGATGAAATCCCAATAGTTCATTTTTGCCCTTGCTTCCCTTGCCTTTGGCGATGTTCCTAGGAAGAAGTTGCTGCGGCTGAGGTGGAAGAGGCTGCTGCCTGTGTTCTCCTCAAGGATTTTGATGGATTCCTTTCTCACACTGAGGTCCTTCATCCATTTTGAGTCTATTTTCGTGTGTGGTGTAAGGAAATGGTCCAATTTCATTTTTCTGCATGTGGCTGTCCAATTTTCCCAACACCATTTGTTGAAGAGGCTGCTTTTTCTTCCATTGGACATTCTTTCCTGCTTTGTCGAAGATTAGTGGACCATAGAGTTGAGGGTCTATTTCTGGGCTCTCTATTCTGTTCCATTGATCTATGTGTCTGTTTTTGTGCCAGTACCATACTGTGTTGATGATGACAGCTTGTAATAGAGCTTGAAGTCTGGAATTGTGGTGCCACCAGCTTTAGCTTTCTTTTTCAATATTCCTTTGGCTATTCAAGGTCCTTTCTGGTTCCATGAGTCACAGACATTTTTAAGAGCATGAGAGATGGCCTAAGTAGAAAAAATTCTCTCGAAAGAATCCATCCTTCCCTACTCCCTTCCAGTCACCTCTTACTTTTTATTAGGACTCTTACATTCAATTCTCACTATTAGGAATCCCCTACTCCTTTACTCTAACCTAGCCATCATGTGCAAACATACACACACACACACACGCTTCTCCCAATATGGGAATCTTAAGAAATTGGGAGAAATTGAAGGTAGTATATCACTCAAAAAGGAAAAGTTTTACTATGGTAGGATTTCTTACCATGAGCTGCATAGTAGATTCAGTGGGTCAAATCCAGCGAGCAGGAGAGATGGCAACCATTCCCTGTATTTCATTTGTGCTTTAATCGCATGACTTATAAATTCAGAAATGTGGTTCCATGGTGCCAACGGACAACCTTTCTTCAAAAAGTAGCGAAATACTGAAAACTTCTCATACTTCAGGCAGTAGGCCAAATGAAGTTCATTTAGTTGGGCTCCATATTTCAAAAGAATATTCACAATTCCAAAAAATTCGCAGCTCCACAAGAAAGAAAGAAAGAGAAAGAAAGTTAGACTTTTATATTAAAAAATTCTTACAAATACTTAATAGTACTTACAGCTGGAAAATAAATGGCAGATGGGATAGCGGAATGCTGTGACATGCGTCAGGAAGGAGAAACTTCCTCTGCCCTTCTAGTTGGACTCAGAATCAAACTGACATGAGACAGATTAACAGGAGAAAATAAAATTTAATAGGAGTAAGTATGGAGAATCCACATAGACATGAAATTCCAAAGATAAGGAAGCAACATGACCTTTATAAGGAGCAGGATATGGGCCTGAGGATACAAAGGGGAGAGAGCTCACTAGCAGAAAGGTAAAATGAGGGGTTTGGAAAAACAAGGTTGTCCTATTATTCAGATTGAGTTCCCTAGGTAAAGGGAAGTCTCTGATAATAGTTCTCTTTCTGCTGCAGGTTCTCCTTTCCAATGTAAAGTTAGGCAGTTTCGCGAGAGGCAGAGAGCTTTTCTTCTATCTGCTGGGTTTTTACTACTTTTAACTCAAAACAATCTTTAAGCTGAAGTGATACATTTCAGGGCCTCTCATCCTGCACCCCCTTCACGGGTCTAGTGAATTGAGATTAGGGTACCAGGGTAAAGGGAGTATTTTACCTTTTAATTAAAGATTTTAATTAAGTATTTAATTAAGTATTTAATTAAGTATCTTACCCTCCTGCATGGTTTTTAATTTTCAACTATGAACAGGTAGTGCCCTTAGAATTTAAAACATTCATATTAAGTAGATAATTTTAAAAATTATCATTGACAAATAGAAAACTCTTCTCAAACTGTGGTATTTTCATACAATTAAGTACTTAACAACAAAATACTTGGAAGCAAAGTTTATTTTTTTTTTTTAAGATTTTACTTATTTATTTGACAGAGAGAGAAATCACAAGTAGGCAGAGAGGCAGGCAGAGGGAGAGGCGGAAGCAGGCTCCCCGCTGAGCAGAGAGCCAGATATGGGGCTCGATCCCAGGACCCTGAGACTATGACCCGAGCCGAAGGTAGAGGCTTAACCCACTGAACCACCCAGGCGCCCCAGAAGCAAAGTTTATTAAAAAATGTCATCAGTCCCTAAAAACAGAGGACTGACTCACTCTAGGAATTTCCAAGATACCATTTCCTTAGCAAGGGTCTTAGTTAATTTCCCTTTTACTTTTAAGTTTATAATGGTAAAAACAAGAAAAGCTTCTTTATGAACAAAAATTTAACTTAGTTTTATATTTTTGAATTAATCTTCTTTATCAAATACTTTTGCAGAATATATCATTTCATATCTATTAAATTGGTTAATTTTATTTTTTTTTTAATGTATCATCCAATACTGGTAAGTTGTGGTTGAACTGACTGAAAATAAGTGTAACCCTTTTCTGAGAAAGCTAACTGGGCAAGACATGTCAAAAGAGATATCACAGCAAAGTTATAAGAGGTACAGTCTCTGGAGCCAGCGTGCTCAGCTTATTATCCATGGAACTCTGAAGCAATTACTTCAACTTTTTGGCACACAAAACTAACACTATACAAGTATTTGTAAAATAAAATTATATATAAAGTATGTAACCATTAATAATTAATTAAAATTAATTAAAATAAAACAATAATTAAAACATAATAGGGGGTACCTGGCTGACTCAGTCAGTGGAACACACAACTCTTGACCCCAGGGTCATGAGTTTAAGCCCCAGGTTGGGTGTGGAGCTTACTTTAAAAAATAAATAAGTAGGGCGCCGGGGTGGCTCAGTGGGTTAAGCCTCTGCCTTCGGCTCAGGTCACGATCTTAGGGTTTTGGGATCGAATCCTGAGTCGGGCTCTCTGCTCAGCAGGGAGCCTGCTTCCCCTCTCTCTCTCTGCCTACTTGTGATCTCTCTCTCTCTCTGTTAAATAAATAAATAAAATCTTAAATAAATAAATAAATAAATAAATAAATAAGTAGAATAATAAAAAAAAAGTAGAATAGAATAGAGTAAGTATAAATCTTGGGAATTTATCTAAGACAAAAAGAAATTATATCCTATTTGTATAACATTAACCATAGTATTATCTATAACAGACTTCAAAACCAAAGAAATTACCTGTTTAACAACATAATAATGGATAAGTACAAAATATGATACAGTCATCAAAAACTGCAATTGTGATGGCCCTGTGACCACATCTTAAAAAATATGCTTTAAGTTTAACTGTCTCAAAGCTTAGTAAACAACTATGTACACAACTGTGGAAGAAAATATGTAATAAAATCATTCTCTCGGGGTACTTGGGTGGCTCAGTCAGTTTAGCACCTCCCTTCAGCTCAAGTCATGATCTCATAGTCCTGGAATGGAGCCCCGCATTGGGCTCTCTGCTCAGCGGGGAGTCTGCTTCACCCTCTCCTTCTGTGCTCATTCTCTCTCTCCCTCCCTCCCTCTCACTCTTCTCTCCCTCAAGTAAATAAATTAAAACCTTAAAAAAAATCATTCTCCTTTGCACATGGCATTAATGCTATTTTAAACAACTATAAATACAAAAAATATTTCATTAATCACAATATCATGTAATCTAAGTAAATAAAAGCATAAAAATTATAGATAAAACAAATATAAAATGTTTAAGCCACTGTCATGTGAAACCAACTACTTCTGAGGACTTATGCATACAATTTGAAATCAAAATTTTAAAGCAGTAAACTTTAATAAGCAGTAAATAGCAATAAATAGTGGTAAACAAGTAAACTGTTACCTAATCCATGAGTATTTTTATAAATCCATGTTCTCTAATCTCCAGTTTGTGCTTTTCTTTAGTTAAAACCTTAAACACTATCTGCTTTACTTTTAGTTATTTACATAGCAATTGGAAAAGAAAAACTGAGGGGCATTTGGGTGGCAGGGTCAGCTGAGCACCTGACCCTTGGTTTCAGCTCAGGTAGTGATCTCAGGGTCCTAAGACTGAGCCCCTGATGGAGACTCAGCATTGCATTCTGCACTCAGTGTGAGTCTGTGAGTCTGCTTGGGACTCTCTTTCTCTCTCTCCCTCTCCCTCCGCCCCTCCCCACTGTGTTCTCTCTCTCAAACAAATAAATAAATCTTTTAAAAAAAAAATTAAAAGAAAAATCAATAATTTTAAAATTTTTTAAAAAGGATTTACTTATTTGAGGGGCACCTGGGTGGCTCAGTGGGTTAAAGCCTCTGCCTCCAGCTCAGGTCATGATCCCAGGGTCCTGGGATCGAGCCCCGCATCAGGCTCTCTGCTCAGTGGGGAGCCTGCTTCCCTTCCTCTCTCTCTGCCTGTTTCTCTGCCTGCTTGTGATCTCTGTCAAATAAATAAATAAAATCTTAAAAAAAAAAAAGATTTACTTATTTGAGAGAGAGAAGACGACAGAGATTGTGTGGTGGGGGCGGTGGGGGCAGCAGAGGGAGAGGGTGAGAGTCTTGAGCAGACTCCACGCTGCACACAGAGCCCAACACGGGGCTGGATCTCACAGCCCTGAACTGAAAACAAGAATGGGATGCTCAACCATTTCTCCCACCCAGGCACCCCTCTAAAATTTCTTCATAAAAATTAAAATCTTTTTGCCTGCCTACCAAGTTGCTATTTGTTCCTGATTAGAAGTCCATCATTCATATTACTGTTCTTGAAAACAGCCCTGGAGGTATGTATTTTTCCCTCTAGTTCTTTTCAGATAAAAGAAGGCTGAGAGATTTGCTGTCAGCAGTCTTGCACTACAAAAAATGCTAAAGAATATACTTCTGATTGATGGCTTTAAACAGTTATCACCAATTTATTTCAACCACTTTGACCTCATTTGACTAGGCTCTCATTATTTTGCCTGCAGTTACTACTTGCTGATTCCACTATAGAACAGACAAGCTACACATGGACTGTTGAATGAGTTCCAATAAATATCCAGGTAAACTATGAGAAAACTGCCTCGCTTACAAGTGTGATATATAATTCTCAAGAAGCCTGGCAATTTTCAAGGCATGAGTGTTTACATGTGCAATTCAGGGACTGGTTGAATTCTTCCCTCAAGTGCTCTGAAGCCATCAACAGCTTAATCACAGATAACTTTAGCTCTTAATGATTCAGTTCTTGAAACACACTTCTGCTACAGAATACAAAGGTAAATGAGAACCCTAAATGCAAGCTATTAGAGTAAGTGCTACAGATGGGTTCCCTAGCCATTTTCTATTCAGAAAAAAAACTATAAAACAATTAGTGACTTTCTTATTAAAATTTTAATATAGCACCCAGACATGCGGCTCCTGCTAAGAAAATTTTAAGAACAATACCAAAAGATAAACCATTCATCTCTAAAATGTGGGAGGAACATACACGCATATAATTCTTTAAAATAAGAAATTTTAATGAGTATTTATTCTATATCAGGCACTATGTTAAATGTGTTACATGGGAAATTTGCCTCAATTCCCACAAGAACCCTAAGAAGTAAGTTCTACTATTATCTCCATTCTAGACACAAAAACTGTGAAGCTTAGTCACACAACTGGTAACTGATAGAACTGGTATAATATCAAACCAAAATGTACCAGTGAGTATATACCAGTGAATCTACCAGTGAATACAGCAACTATATGAAATATTGCTTCTCTATTATGAAAACTGAATGTTTCATGAAATAGTTAAATGAAATTGAGGAATATTTTAAGGCCAGACCTATGTTTCCCAAAGTATGTTCCAAGGAACACAAGACCCTGAAAATGATCCATATGACTAAGGCTCCATGATGAAAATATTTGAGAAATCCTATATGGTATATACACTGAGGTCAGAAAAGAGAGAACTATAGGATGAACTTATTTTTTAAAAGAATGCTAGAAAAAAAAAATAAATAAAGTATGCTAGTTACATTTTCAAATTAAATGCCAAAACATCTTCTTCAACCTCCGGACACATCTCAGAAATAGTATTGTGTTTTTCCCCCCCAGAAGTATTTTTTGTTTAAGATTACTTATTTGAGAGACAAGGAGAGAGAGTATGAGAA